TCTTGTTTGGGTGTGGTCACACCATGCCCATCTGATGTGACACACACACCTGTTACCAGGGTATGTGTAACCCCGTTACATGCGGCAAAGCCGCCTAATTTTAAATGCATAAATTTTCCTAGATATGTATAGTAAAATCTAAATTCATGTATAACTACTGGTTATCCAGCCCCGTACCGTATTATTGTTTGAGTGTGGTCACACCATGCTAATCTGGTGTTACACACACCCCTGTTACCAGGGGTATGTGTAACCCCGTTACAGCGTGTGTGAGACTCCAAGATACACCGCATTAAAGTAGCAAAAATATCAGTCGCATTTAAACTATCGCCACATTGTTAGGAGCTGCGATAACATGTCACTTGCTTATCGCTTTAGTCAGCTGATTGCAACGTATCTGACAGATTAAGTCGCACGGTTTTGAAACGGCAACAACGTCAACCGCACTAAACCTGTCGACAGGTTGTTGGCAGCTGCATTAAGACGTTATGTGCTTTTCTGGCTCAAATAAAATGCTTCGATTTTTTGAGCAACCAAGATACACCACATCAAAGCGCCAACGTAGTTTTCGCTCATGTCTCTTCCTCGAAATGGGGAAGGAAATCGGGGAGGAGGGAGAGAAAACCGGTTTTCATCGTCCGCTCAATTGCTTAAATTATGCACAAAAAGGCATTCAGAGTACCCCTAGGCACTCTTAGAGACAGCGATGATGGCTGCGATAATACGATTATGCTGTACCGTATTTATCGTTTAAGTACGGACGAAACGGCTGCTGTGCTTGTGATGTACTTGACCCACCTAAGTGTGAAATAGCCAGAAGTCTGTTCCTTCCTCAGATAATGTCCTTTCTAACATCTATTACCCACGTAGCTACCAATTTATCCGTTTGCTAGGGTTGACGATACGTTAGAGGTATAATCATGCGGCTTTTTTAAGGCGGATACCATTCAGACAATATTTTGATAATTCCCAGTCCAATGATTGGGCACACATCATCACTTACCCCAACATTCTCCTGTTATTTGGCCTGAAATTTGCTTGCTTTGGGAACCCCATCTACGTTGCTAAACAATTGGCTGTCCGAGGTAAGTGAATGACAGAGCAATTAGTCACTAAAGGCCTGTACATAATTAATTGGGAATTTCTATATACTGTGCATGATAGTGAGACTTTTAACTCCTGAGCATCAATGTAGCTTTAGTCGGGAAAAGAGCAGGACCTTGCTCTGTTCCAGTAGCAGCTAGGCTTCAATATTAAGCTGTAAGTGCAACATTGCACTACACTCCATATGCTGTTTGATGCAGCTCAAGAAACAGTTACTAACCTGACTGAGCACGATTATTTCTATTGAATCTTTGTATTGTTATTTGATAGTAAATACTCTTATTAAATATCGAAGAACGGTATACATAAAAATATATTTAAGTCATGCTAGCTTACTTTTAGTGAGCTCGAATTCTATCACCTCGTCCAGCACACTTATGCTGCAACCGCTGACGGTGGGCTCCATGGCTGAAGCCACAGCTGTACCCTGTGAGATCTTTGTTGCAAATGCGTAAGTCATGTGGAAACCCGACATTTCGTCATGATATGACGGATGTTCTATCGAATCAAACTCCATTTTCGTTTTACCAGCTGGGATTATGTTAACAGATAGCGTGCGGTCAGCTTGATGTGCTGGCAAGTATTGAAGTGACGGTTCTTGTCTAGACACGGGACTTAATTGGTCATACGGATATGAAGTAAAGGAGGTCTTTATAAGACCTGGGTGGCGAGTTTTGATATGTCGGGTGAGATTGCCAGCTGTGCTGAAGGTCTTGGTGCAGCCATTCACTCGGCACATGTGTGTCTTCCGAGCAGTGTGAATCTTAGTGTGATGGTCAAGCTTTTCTTGGCTAGGAAATGAACGTTTACAGCCGTTGATGTCACATTCAAAAGGCTTCAACGATGCGTGGAGGCGTTTATGGCGCGCTAAATTGCCAGATGTGCTGAAGCGGCGACTGCATTCAGACAATGGGCATACATATGGCTTTTCGCCCGTGTGCGTCTTCTTGTGCTCGTTGAGCGTGAATTTGCGATTAAAGCGGCGGCCACAGCCGGGCTCCTCGCAAACAAAGGGCCGGTAGCTAGAAGCTGGTGTGCGTATTTGCGACAGGGTCGGTTGCACAACCCCCTCGTCACAATCAAAGCTTAATGAGCTGGTCGATCGAGGTGAAAGCGGCTGGGTGAGAAATGACATCATCGTAACCGAAGCTGAATTAATATGCTGACTCACGAAGATCGACCCTGGCTAGACGCGGTTAAACAAGAAATGATGATCCGATCTGAGCTCTGTCTGATTTCGGACAGCTGGCGGCAAGCGAATGGCATCTCGAAGGTTTAATGAGCATGGCTCGAGTTGATACAGTATGTAGTGTGTAGAACGTATTCGTTGTTTATAGTGCTGTCTCGTCTACGCTGCCAAATCCCGGATGTTTGGCTAGCTCAACGAAATACTTTTGGTCAACTTAGTGATGTCGCTGACCAATCTACGTGTAGCGCTGGTAATACACCAGGTGAGAGATTATGCGGTAATATTTATCGATAGGAGAAATCACAGCGTCACGCACTTGGCACTTTATTATGACAATACAGCCAGGAAATTGAAACTGTCTATTGCAGGTATTGTGAAAATGTAATATTCCTGATTTGAAGCGGAGATTTTGTTTGAGCAGTGTCAGAATGGGTGACTCCGGAGCGAGTTGGTCGGTTGTTCTATTGTGTGATGCCGATGAATTGACGACTAGCGTAAAATACGCCATTGATTCTGTGATGTGCTTCGCTGCAGGTTCGATCGGCTACTAAAGCCTCAATGCTGGGCTGGATCCAGCAGATCTTGATGCACTATCT